TTTAAATTTCTTAGATTTTTAAATTAAAATTCAAGTTTAAGAAAAATTATTTTTCATAGAAACAAATTTTAATCATTGATCTTAAGGCAGTTAAAAATTGTTAGAATTTTTATAAATATGTAAAATCGTTTAGTATTTATTTTTTTACAAAATAAAACAGGTTAAATTCATGTAAATACGCAAAAACAAAATTTAATTAAGCAAATTAAATAAATAGCCAAAAAATTTGCAAAAAACATTTTTTTTATTTTAAATTACATACAATTAAATCTGAATTTAGCAATGATTAATTAATTATAACATATCATTATGGATAATTATTTTTATAAGGTAAGTTTATTAATTTGATGGTGCGAGCACGGAACTTTTTTTAAAAAAATTTAATAAAATATCGATATTTTAATTAAAAATTTGAGTCGTTTTTTAATTTAATATATTTTTAAAAAACTTAGAATAATAATTTTACACTCATTATAAATATAAACCAAACATGTGTTATAAAAAATAATATTTAAACGTTTTGTGATACAACAATTATTATAATTATCTAAAAAATAAAAATAAAATTTGACCCATTAAAATGCTCTTTTGTGTTTTATTGATTAGTACAACTAATATTTCCGATTCTAATATAAATTACATAAATAACCGATTTTATAGTAACTTATATAACGTTGTTAGCACAGCAGAGGATACACAACAAAATACAATATTCGGAAATTTACTATGCAATGACAAAATGCAAACAGATGATGGGGCAGATTCTGGACGTGATCAAAGTACTAATAAACATAATTTAGATAGCGATCTTACATGTGATCAATATACTTGTGAAACAAATAACTTTTCTTTGACACCAAGTAAAGATCTATCTCAAAATCCGGAAAGTACAAATTTTCTTAATCAGGATTATTCAATATTGGACGTAGGCACAAATACGCCTCAGTACTGGAATGGTGTTGTTAGTGCTACAGATGTTTCTCATACCAACAGAGTTGAAACAAGTTTGCCTTTGACATATAATAATCATATTCCTGCACAAACCAACGTGTATTCTGATTCATGTTTGCTTACACAAATCGAAAGTATTCCAGTTGTTCAAGAAAATGAATCTCTGACTGAACTACTAAAAGCCCGTTGTACTGATTACTACACAGAAT